GTATAGTGTTTAATGAGTTTGAGAGAGTTAAATGTATTCGGATAACTTAAAAGTTTTGGTACCGTGTGTATTGCTCCTTTGAAATTCAAACGTGTAAATATTTGTTGAAAGGATAAAGTGATTAAAAATATTATGGGAGCATATTTACACAAAAAGTGATAGGCCTAAATTTAACATCTGTAACATATTTCAAGTTGGAAGGTAAAACACGAAGTGTTAAAATGATATGGCCAGGCGTCGATTAACAATTAGCGTGCCCGTTCTGAATCAGAGGGTTCATGGCTTTCTGCGCTCTAAAAATAACGTTCCGACAAGAGCAGCCCAAGAGTTGGCGGTGAGTGCTATTGACTGTCTGCCTTCTTTCTAGTATGTCAATTCAAAATTAGTGACGGCTATACGTAGATAGCCTTTGTGTGATTTTACGAGAAATTTCTTTTAAAAAAACTATAAAAACATGACTTTAAATTGTACTGTTATACCACGTGGACCCCTGGTGGTGCAGCGGTAAGTGGGGGGCTTATAACGCTAAAAATTGCGTTTTGATACTGCGGTGGGAAAAGCCCATTTTGTAACTTTGTGCTTTCGGCAAACCAAATAACATATCACGTGATTTTAAGTTCTTTACATGAACGAGTAAATTTTCTGTCGCAAAACTGGTGTGGACATCCTGGTTGTAATGGCGATGATGAGCACTGAAGTTACCGATAAAACTAGACACACATGAATATAGCTAAGTAATGAATTTCTCACTGACAATTTTCTTTGGGACGAGGTTTAAATTCTAAATCAAGGCTATTGACACGATCTCGTTCATTCTTGCAACGCAGTTGCTTTTTTACTTGTCTTGTAATTAGACACAAAGCAGCAAGGTGTTGGACTGTTTTTTAAACTGTATTCACAGATAAAAGAAACCAGTTTTAAAACTTCAGGAACGGAACACGCTTGAATATTGTACATTATTATAATTAGTAAAACTAAACTGTGTATATTGGAGGAAACTTTGTTTACAGTTTAGTGAAAACGTATTATATGGATACTCAAGTGACTAATAATTAGAAATAATAATTGATTTTTTATACGGAAAACTGTTCCAGAATACGTGGATTGCAGCTTATATATATACTTATATATTTTTCAATACATTTGTTTTTATACGGATAACTTATTATTCCAGTGTAATTTTTACATTAATTTTATCCTATATAAATCAAAATGATAACCCATCCAAGGAGTTTGCTTTATGATCACATGAACTGCGTAGATAATTCAGGAAAGTAGCTCCAGTTATAGTTCCTGTTTATATAATTAGTATTAGGTGGAAGGTTAGTCACAGTTCAAATAATAGTTGTTATATATTAAGACTTGAGTAACCTTACCTAGTTGTCGGTTTTGGACTTATCCCATTCTTGCCCCCCCCCCTTATAAATATAAGTATGTTTCAGTACATCAGCAATGGAATACTTCCACGTGTTGATGTGCAGACGATAACATAATATGTATAGTTAGGAAGTTTACCAAACCATATGCCATATGGACATGCTTATTTTGGTGGTGTTATCATATGCTTTAGTGTAACCTCCTAAACATTTAATTCAAGATTCAGGTTAGTTTAATTTATTTACATAAAATTTGTCATGTTTGATCAACATTGACTCTTATTCAACCACTTAATACTGAAATGATTTAATTCGTAGCAAAGGATTGGTTAAACTTCTCACTATAAGCTTATGTAACAAATGATGAACATGACAAGAGTATTATATGTGTGAAAGTATGGAATACTTTTATGTATCACTACACTGGTACCTGCTGTTCCATTAAAAGATAGAAGTACTGGAAACTATGCTATTGGAATTACTATTGTTCTGAAAGCTTTCACAGTGACATGCACTTACGAATATTTGGACCAAACTTTTATTTAATATACTTGTATACATATAATGTTTTAATCCTCACGTGATCACTTTTTGTGAAATTATGAAGTAAATTTGTAAAATCAATCATGTATAGTTTCAAATCAAAGTTAACACAGAAATTAAAAGCATACCAGTTTCACGATACATAATTTTTATTTTTTATCTTTCGTTACGTGCCTCTTTCCCAACTCCAATCTTTAGAATTTATATGATT